ATACAAACCAACTTGAATGGGCTAACTGGGTCAAATGGTTCAGAGTAATATCACCACCAAAAGAATTATACATACACACAGACACATACATAGAAAGATAAAGCAAATGTGGTACAATGTCGACAACTAAGGAATCTGGATAAACGGTATTTTTAACTATTCTTGCAACTTTCCTTTAAGTTTAAAATGACTTTAAAATAAAACATTAGAAATAAAGATATGGCTAACTAAAGCACCTGCTTCTTAAAATATTCAAACAAACATTTTACTTAAAGTGTGTAGCTATGGTTACTGTGAATGTTTTGTTGAGAAAAGTCTGTTGTCTATTTGTGTCTTAATTCATATCATTGTTGACTATGAGCAAAAGCCACATATACGAAACATAATTAAGAAATGGCTTATCTTAATTACGTGCCCAATGATTTGGAGAGCTTTCATAGTAATGGTTAATAACAGTTAAGTGACAAAGTGACAGAGAGTCAACATTTCAGAGTGTGCTAAAGGAGGGTTGAATGGGATGCATCCTTTAATAACCAAGTCTTCTGAGTGTTTCTATTCATAGAAAGCATATGCAAAGTCTCTTGGCTTCATATCGAAAAGTTTAATATGCGTAAGTATTGACATATATTAAAGTTTCTTGGCAGATTTATCCTTTGGAGAAAAATTATTCACTATTTATATTTAAAATATAAAGAAAACCTATGGGTAATAAGATCAGTAATTAGTATATTAATATTTCCTTTGAAAAAAGTTAATACTCTTACTATCTAAGGATTTATTCGGCTTGTTTCAGACATTAAGCGAAGTATTATAAATCTAGCTATAAACAAAACAATAACAGGATGACAAAGCATTAATTATCTTTGGGAACAATGCAAATTCTATGCATAAATCTAATTAACCTCATAATAAAGATTCGGCTGGGTATGGTGGCTCATGCCTGTAATCTCACCACTTTGGGAGGCAGAAGATCGCTTGAGGCTAGGAGTTTTAGACCAGCCTGGGCAACATAGCAAGACCCTATCTCTAAAAAAAATTTTTTTAAAAAAGATTCAAGAGATGAACATGGTATTGGTTTGTAGAACAATTTACAAAAATCAATATGCCAAACATTCAAATGAAATTAGTAATGTAAAAACAAGTATAAAATCTGAATCAAATAAAAGCAGTTGGCAGGAAATCTCAAGACTGCCTTTTTTTTTTGAGACAGAGTCTCGCACTGTCACCTGAGCTAGAGTGCTGTGGTGGCAGCCTAGCTCACAGCAACTTCCAACTCCTGGGCTCAGGCAATCCTCCTGCCTCAGCCTCCAGAGTAGCTGGGACTACAGGTGTATACCACCACACCCGGCTAATTTTTTCTATTTTTAGAAGAGACAGGGGTCTTGCTCTTGTTAAGGCCGGTCTTGAACTCCTGACCTCAAGCGATCACCCCGCCTCAGCTGCCCAGAGTGCTGGGATTTTAGGCGTGAGCCCAGTCAAGACTGCCTTTTTACCTTAGCAGCACAGAGCAACTGATAAATTACCATTAAATAATGACACTTTATTTATTATTTATTTTTTTTGAGACAGAGTCTTACTTTGTTGCCCAGGCTAGAGTGAGTGCCGTGGCATCAGCCTAGCTCACAGCAACCTCAAACTCCTGGGCTCAAGCAATCCT